ATTTCTGTTTTATATTGCAGTTTTCTTCTACAACTAAGCCACAAGACTTTAAAAAAATTACAAGGTAAATAACAATTTAAAAATTTCAGTGTTCAAAGATTCTCACCCTCGGAAAGAATCAGTGAGTGAATGCTAAGCTTTATTATGGCTTACTTAACACCCATTTTTTGAACATCAAAAGACCTGGCCTTAATTCCTAGCCAACATGTTTCATAAACAGCCACAATCTATCTGCCAATGGCAGGCTTGCATGTTGCTATGATGCTGAGCACATTTGAGGAAGAATTTCAGACTAAATTGTCTAGTGATCTACCTTCAAAATCCCATCAATGAGAACTCCTCATTGGATCACAACGGTTCAATCAGCAACTGATCATGAGGTGTCACGGGACTGGGCACCATTTATTAATTGTGCTTGTAGAGGTTACCACAAGTTGAGGTATGTCTAAACAGCAAGAAATAATAATAAAAACATGACATCTACAAATTGTAATGATAATGGATGTGGCACTCAGGAAATTTCTGTACGAAACAATAGACGCTTACCATTCATATACTGGTAAATGAAACATAACCCAATAAGGGGAAATAACTTTGTGCTGTGCATTAAAAGGAATGGAAAGAAAAAACAGGATTGTAAAACCATTGAGTCATAACTGATGCTACATCAGAACTTCCAGCGGGTATTAGGAGACTATAAACCACAAAGAAGAGATCTTTTTTTCCCATGATGCTGCTGGCGATTTAAACTACCCAGGAGCCACTCTCATTGGGTTCACAGCACTCCCTACAGATTACACCAGCAGAACTCCCTCAAGAAGACCTATTATCACGTTGAAAGTTGTAAAGTAATATAACAATGTCTTCATTTCCTAATTATGCTGAAACAAAATGCCAAAATGTACTGGCTTAAAACATGATGGATTTATTATCTTTCAGTCCTGGAAGTTACAAAGAAGTAATGGGTCTCACTGGGCATCAGTGGGTTGAGCTAATACCGGAGAGTCTAAGGGAGATTCTGTTCCTTCCAGTTTTCAAGTACTCCTTGACTGGAGTCATCATCTTCAAATCCAGCAATACTAGTCAAATCTTTCTCACATACTTTCTATTACTAACTCTCAGACAATTGTCTTGTGGGCTTACTCTAAGCATACTCTACAAAGTACAGCAGAATAAAGTAGATCCAAATAGAGTGAATTAGAACAAAGGGATGCAAGAGGAGATAGGTAACAGAGGGTAATGGCAAGACTTTGCAATTAATCAATTAAATCTGAATTACATTTTCAGTAATCAATTAAGTCTTAGATAAAAACTTGCCATGGATTCTCTCACATCATTTCTACCACTAAACTTTCCAAGCACCAATTTTCTGTTTCCAATTTTTGTATTGTAACCATCAGTAATAATCAATGCAGCTTTATTGCATACTTGGTCAAACTGAGATTGCAGAAGTCATTAAAAATCTTCCATTTGATCATCTGAAGTATGAGTATTTGGTATGTAACTGTGAATAATAGGCATATTAACTGGTATTCCTTTTCCATGTATAGATAATATCCTATCACCACCATACTGTATGCACTTCAGGACAGATCCTGAAATGTTCTTTTAACCATGAGTACGATACCACTCCTCTTCAGATTGACATTCCTGGCATAATGGATTGCAATTCAATCTGGTTCAAAATAGCCAATACAAGCTGATTTCCATTCACTAAAGCTGCTGCCTGAAGGCAAGGATTTGAAACTCTCTCTTACATGGCCAAGAGGAACCAGTCCTCGGAGAAGGACATTGAGCTTGGGAGGGTGGAGATACAGCACAAGAGAGGAAGACCCAGGATGAGATGGATTAACTCAGTGATGGGAGAAATGGGATTAGGTCTGTGAAATAGGAGAGGGGAGAGTTCAGAGCTAATATACACAGGATCACTATGAGTCGCAGGCAGCTCAATGACACAAAATGACAACAACAATACCTAAGATATCAATCGTTTTGCAGTCTGTTTCATTTTTCACAATATCTAGCTTTCCTAGACTTATATTTTGTATAGTCTATGCTCCGATTATTAATAAATGACTGCAGCTGTTTCTCCTTGCTGAGTCAGGCCACATCAGTAAATGGACTTCCTTGCAAGATGTGTGAAGATGGCACAGGATAGGACTAGGACGGGGTTCAAGTCTGATATTCGTGGGGTCGCTATGAGTCGTACTCAACTCGAGGACACCTACCACCAGCACCAACATGCTTAAGTTAGACTCTCCTTGGAAGAGGCAGCTCCTTCTGATTGTGAACACCTTCCCATCTGCGGGGCTCATCATCTGACACCAAACCAGGCAACACTCCACTGTTTTGATTCCTAAGTTTTTCACTGATTTTTTTTTTACATCACCAGATCTACTCTGCTGGTATTTGAACCAGCTAGAACCAGTGGCATTGCTTCTAGCATCACTGACACACACAAATCACTACAGTTGAACAAGCAAGCAAATAAGTGATGGTACTGGATAAAACATTTATATATGAAATTGCCTGATTTTGAGTTTGTCTATGCTGTTTCTGCATGTTCCTTTATAGCAAAAGCTCTTCCCTAGACATGAGTACAAAAGCATATGGACTATGTACATCCATCCTGCCTGCCTCCTTGGACTGGCCTCCTTCTCCCTTGTCAGTGCAAGTCACACAGCCAATGTGCAAACAGGAAAGTCTCAACAAATTTAATCTAAGCTCAATACTAACCAGATGATTTGGGGTGAGTTTGATGTGACATTGAAAATCCACAAGTATCATTTACAATTACTTCCTAATTTAAAATGAAAAAAAAAGGGTTAGAATGAAATCTGGCAAAACTTTTTTTGTTCACTAAACATATGGACTATAAGGAAATCTTAAAGACTTCAGAGGAAATGTCAGAAAAATAAGTAATGCTCTCTTCTTCACGTGTCTTTTTCTTAGGAAAAAAAAACCAAAGGATGTACAATTTTTCTGGCAACATCAAATGTGTAAATTTTCATCACCTCTGAAGAACAATACCAATTAAGCTTTGTGTGGAAGCATTAGAGTGCATTAGGGAATGGTTAGAGCTATACCCAGGCAGTACTGCTTCTCTGTTAGGTTGTCAACAGATAATCTCTCTTTTTCACCTAATTTTGTAATGGTGGCAAAGTCCCATTAAAACAGAGATTACATATAATAAAGCTGCTTCCATGTCTAGGAAATGGATTATTATCAAAAAGTAGTTGGCTAGAGTGTTAAAAGAATTCTCTAAAAGGAAGAATTCTGTGGGACAGACAATTGTTTCCCTGGGCTCTGTTCATGGACTCATCCTTCTCTGTAATGACGTCTGTGGAGAAGGCCATGAGTGAGACATTCTCCTCTGCTCCTTTTAAGCTTGTCCTTTATCAGTTCGTCATTTGAGCACACTGGTAATGAAATCTGAAACAACGACCACCTTCTTCCTTAATAAACAACCCCACTACCTAGAATATATCAAAAGAAGAAAAATGGTCTTAAAGAAAAAGCAAAAAGTGAAATGTGGAGAAGAGGAGAGAGGAAAAACCTTCTCAAATAGTTGTGGAATAAATAACACATTATTTACCACAGGATCAACCAAATAAACAGGAAGTATACATCAAAATCAGGCACAGCAAAAGTCAACTCTATTGAGAAAAGTCTCCACTTTCAATCATTAATTCAGTAAGTGTTCTTTGACAATCAAGTTTGTGTAAGATATTACAAGAGATTCTATTAATAAAATAAACACAGAAAAAAATCAAACTCTCCCAGTCCAGTCCTCTAAAAGCTTACAATCTAGTGAGGAAGTGAAGTCCCATATGAAATGGCCAATTACAACACAAAGTAGACAGAGTGTGTTTCCAGAAGGAAATATGAAAAATACATCTAGGGAATGTCTACAAAGATTAGCATCAATTTGCACAATACAAAAAAAGTCTTATAAAAAGAGACAAATATATAATTTACCAACTTCAATGAATTACTTATTTATAATCCAGTGTATTTGATCAAAACGCACAAATATGTGCACATACACAAAATAACTTGGGAAGGCAGAAAAATAATAGAGAGAATCATGTTTACAAATACAAACAACATTAAGAACGCACATAGAAGAAATCATCTTAGAAACAAAGATCCCTCCAGGAGAAATGCAAGTCAATTCTGGAGGACGGATTACAACTGAAGGAACCTAGCAGTCACACTGGTTAAAGCACTTGCCAAAAGACTGCCAGTTGAGGCCCACCAGCAGCTCTCGCACAGAGGACAGTCCCAGGAATCCTATGGGCCAGTTCTACTCTGACCTACAGTGCCTCTGTGAATCAGAATTGGCTGAGCGTACATGGTGGGCCTTTTGTTCACTTCTTTGGTTTTTTATTGGTCATTGATAAGAGGAGGCTAACAAAACAGTGATAAACCAATGCATTTCAACAACAGAAACCCACTGCAGTACATCTGAATATTTTTCTATCTTTCTCATAGTAGTGTCAGAGAGAAAAAAAATTCCCATGAAGACAAAATATTTGCAGAGAGTTTTCGTCTCTCATCAGCTACTTTAAGAAAAAGTCCCCATCAGAGTTCTCCAGAAGACTTTCTTCCCTAATATATTCTCTACTTTGAAAGAGTTTCAAACCTCAGGAATTAAGTTGAATATTACCAAAGGCCAGGAATGAGTTCCATACCCAGCAAGAATGGTGAGAATTCCAACAGCCTCAGCACTGACACTAATTTATGGAGACAGATCAGGAACTCTTGGGAATGAAGGGGCTGCTAATTAGGCCACTAGGAACAGATTCCCAAACCTTGACAAAGTTTTTTTTTCCAAACATCTAATGAAGAACTTTGATTTATGGGCTGTCCAGGTGAAACCTGAACAGATGGTATCTTTTAACAATAAGTGACACATGAATTTGTTAAGAATTGCAATCTCTTGAAAGCATGCAGCTCTACAGAGGAAAACAATGAGGACCATTTTTAGAATCATCTACCTTATCTTTATCTTCAACGACATCTGCCAAGATATCATCTGGATCCAGGATTCCTCCATCTGTGTATTCCAAGTGATGAATCTTCACCCAGTAACCAGGATCCTATGGTAGAACGACCAACATATTTCACAACTTAATCTTTATGAAAGGTAAAATACATTGTCACTTAAAAAAATAAATTGACTCATTAAAAATATGCTCAAATAATAAAAAAATGTTCAAACAGCGAAAACACATGCTATCTATTTATATTCATAAGTATTTGGCATTTTTCATCCTGTTCAACAAAAATCAGTATATCAAAGTATATATAGATTTCATAAATTTTTATGGAAGACAAATTGCAATGCAAAGAATAAATTGCCCCAGCAATTTGAAAAGAATATTCAATCATTTTTTTATAAACTCCAACTTCAGTAATATCAGGAATATCTGGGCGGGGGGGGGTGGTGGTGGAATCTCCTTGTGGGTACTTCCTGAAACCAGGCACAGAATTGCAAACTAAGAGCATAAAGCTTTTCTGGGATGGGGAAAGGGCATAGGGCAGCAATCTGTGGTTACAATGGCTAGTGCTTTGTCTATATGCACAGAATAGAGTTATTACGACTTCTTTCATCTTTTTCAACCCCTCTTGCTCTGGGTTCATTCTCAATCTCAGATTTGAAATGACTTCCCAGACAAGAACTTCAGAATAAGCTCTCCTTTCCTGCAGCAAGGCCACAACCCTAAACTATGCTTGGTATTGAACAGGAGGTTGACTGCATTCAGATCGTAATTTATAAGATTCCCAATATTTCTTTAAGCAGTAGCACTTAGGACAGCAAGGCTTAAGAAAACATGAATTTTTCTTAGTGTTTTATGTGGTTATTTACTTTGATGCAAAACCTAGAGTTAAATAACTGGTTGTATTCAGTTATACACTTTCTCTATCCGGGAAAGATTTGAAAGTGGACCATTAAAACAACTGAACAAGAATGGAAAGCAATGAGTTAAATGAACAAGAATATTAGTAAGAGAGTTCTGGAGGCTTTAATGGTAAGCAGCTGTGCTGTCAATGTGAAGGTACACAGTTTGAATCCAAGAGAAAGACAAACTCCCATGCTCTAGAGAGGGGGAAGGAGAGAAAAGCATTAGTAAGGACTGAACCAAAAATTCTTGAGCTATAACCAATTTGGTTCTTTGCTTCTCAGTAAGTCTCTCAAAATGGGAAACTTTTGAACTATAAAGTTACCAGTATCTAATAATGGAATAGATACGAGTTCACTGAAGAGATGGAAATTTTTCTAGGATAAATGTCCCAGACTTTATGAAATGAATCTTTATAAAGAGTAAGAACTAACATAAAACACAGAATTCAATTGCAATTTTATGAAAGCTAATAGAAATGGTTGCCTTACAGTCTTCCATTCAATTTAACCCGATAAAAGGTGAGGGCATACTATTAAATAATAATTCCATTGAGGCATCAGAGGGCTTCTGAAATGTAGCCCAAGTACATAGCTTTCCAGTAATCCAGACTGATAAAATTATAGACTTGAAGAAGTATCAGAAGGAGTGATTCTTAGCTAGGCTTTGGGCCTTTCAAAATTAACTTTCCTTCAGAGTATTAAAGAACAATTCCAAGAAAAATACAAAGATATTCAAAGAGCAATTGAAAGCAAAATAAAAATAAATTCATTGCTTCAAATACTAGCCTGATAACTGAAAATGAACAATCATGTATTAGGAAACATTTAACTGTCTGGCTCCATTGCCCAGATAGAGACTGCAAAGATATAAGCAATGGTATTATATTACCAGGTAGGAAAAGCCCAGGATGCCCATCACTCAGATAAGAGATCTCGGCCAAGGAAAAGTGACTCTGCTGTGAAAAGGGAGATAAACCCAGAAAGCTAAACTCCAAATAGAAATAACACACTATGCAAAAGGCTAAGGGACTCTTCAAAACAGAGGAAGAAAGAATTAAAAAAGAAGTCTGACATGAAGAAAACAAAGATTCTCACCACTGGGCCAAATGGCAACCTCATGATAGATAAAGACTAAAAATGTTAATAATTTCAGCTTACTCAGTTCCACAATAAACATTGTTGGTACCAGCAGTGAAGAAATCAAAACACAAATTGCACTGGGAAAATCTGCTCCAGAGTGCTAAAGACCAACGATGTCAGACTAAGGTATGCCTGATCCGGGCCATGGTCTTTGCAATTACTTGCTATGCATCAGAGATCTGAACAATGACTAAATATGACAAAAGAAGAATCAATGCCTTAGAGTTGTGGTGCTAGGAAAGAGTAACATATCATGGACTGCCAAAAGAACTAACAGGTCTGTCCTAGAGAGGGTGAAGTGAAACTGCTCCTTGGAGGTAAGGATTTTGAGGCTCTATCTCACATACTTTGGGCATGTTGCCAGCAGGAGTCAGTTCTAGGAGAAGGAAATCATGTTAGGAAGGGTAGAGGGACAGAGCAAGAGAGGAAGACCCCGGATGATATGGATTGACACATGGAAGGAGGTGTGTCGGAGACAGTGAGTCTGGCTCAGGATAGGGCAGAGTTCAGAGCTATTGTACATAGGGTCACTGCGATTTGCAATCGACTCAATAACGTTGTTATGTCCCACTGAGTTGGAACTCGCTCACAGCTGACCCTCCAGCAGGTTGTAAATCACACGGGAGGAGAACTACAGATTCAACTTGTACACTCTTGGGTTGGCAGTACAACTCCTTACCACACTAACTAGGCAACTTAAGTTCACCAAACCAACCACACCAAAAGGAGTTCAGGCGGCCTGGTGGTAAGGAGTTGTGCTGCCAATTCTAAGGCACATCGTTTAAACCACCAGCTTCTCCACCGGAGAGTGATAATCTCCACCACTAATTTACTGCCTGTGAAAACCCACTGAAAGCCTGTTAAAGCTGGCTCCAGCTCGACAGCACATAACAATAGCCATTAAGGACTGATTATTTTTTACCCTAGACATGCCACATTAATATATTTCTTCAAATGTACTAGGATTTCTGACTGAAACCTAGACAAGTGTTTGTTGTTTTAAAATAAAGCCTCCTGTTTTAAAGGATTTCAATTTAATTAATTTCTAAGAACATTGATAAAGTTACTTTCTGATATCTTACAGTTCTGTAGATGAAATGTGTTGATTTAACAATGTTTATAAAAATTATGTATTGCACAGAATTTTCTTCTACATGATTGCTTAAAAGCAGACACCTATTAAGGTGTCTGTTTTTATCTCATGCTGAGTATGAAAGTAGATTTTATCAGTTAAAATGGAGGTAAATAATTACCCCCTAACAACTGCAACAAGAGGTGGAGTACCTCTCTCTCACTTCTAGAAAGAGGAACAGAGAGACAGAAAGAGGGCGGGGGACACAACTAAAGGCCTCGTTTAAAATACAAATTTCCAGAAATAATAGAGTGCTGAGTCTGAGCACAGGTACAGGTACCACACAAGCGGCCACAGGAAGTTTTTAAGTAACATAGTGTTTCACCTTCATGTATTTCAAAGAAATTTTAAAAAAATTAACACTTTTAAAGAACTGCTATTGTTGTTGTTGTTGTTATTGTATGCCATTAAGTAGATATCAACTCATAGTTGATCCTCCAGCCATGTTTTTGGAGGCAATACATTGCACAAGAAGAGACTGTCACCTGGAGACTTCTGCTCTGGACCAACTGGTGGGTTTGAACTGCTTGGGTTGGGGATTGTAGCACAGCTTCTTACCAGTATGCCACCAGAACTCCCTTTATAGAACTAGGTAAGAAAAACATAATTTCAACACATTTTTAGAATCCTATTGGCCAAACAATATAATTTTAGGGGAATTTGAGGGTGTCAAAACATAGACTTTGAACTTTAAGGCATCTCACCCTTTACCTAGACTGCCATCTGTCATGTATCAAAGGAAAATAGTTGACTACAGATAGGAACACTTGGCCATGAACAAAAGCAGGCAAGCTGTACAAAAGTGAGTTCGGGGTTAATGCTTTGCATTTCCAAGAGATGTAAACCAACAAATTCCATTTATGCCCATGGTAATTTTGTCCCCATGGTCTTTTCTCTATGATGCTATAGATCACCTAGAAATATACAAACAATATCAGCAGACTTTAGTCATCAGAAGAACAAAAATTACCCTCTTTTATGTATGTAAAAATTTCAGCCATTACGTTACAGTCAAGAGTTAATTTCATTTACTTCGTTATATTACCATCATGAATAAAATTGATCAAACATGAAAAGAGGTTCACATACATATCTTGGTTCACACAATCACTCTGGAAGAAAAAGCATTTTTTTAGGATCATTACATGTAGTCTTTTGTTATTTTGCATAAATATGTATAAAAACATGTAATTTTTAAATGTCTTACAATCTCTTGTATATACATACATTTTGAAATCTAATAAATTACAGGCATGTCCTAGACCACTGAAAGTAACTTATGATATATTGTCTCTGCTTCTGATAATATCTTTTCATTTTTCCAAATCACACAGTTAACATACCACTACTAAAATTTAAAACTAAAATATACTACAATCATACAATCATACATGATAAATTGGGGGTGGAAATGAAAACAAAAGTATACACATTACAGAAAGACAAGGCACCTTTAATGATCAAATACAGAAACGGCACCAAATGGGAATAAATATTAACTAATACTAGCAACCACCTTTCACTAAGGAGCTCTGGTGGCTTAGGGGTAAGGAGTTGTGCTGCCAACACAAAGGCTTGTGACTGGAATCCAACATCTGCTTTGCGAGAGAAAGATGGGCAATTTTCTCCCGCACAATTTACTGTCACTGAAAACCTGCTAGAGGGTCAACTCTGAGTCAGTTAAGACTCAACAGTACACAAAACTTTCAACAATGCGTACATGGCATCATAGTCTTACCATGTAAATTTGGAAAAGTGCATAAACCAAAGCTTTAAGGAACAATATCTTCTATCTGCAATAGTTAAAGGAATAGACTAGAAAAATAGATTACTGAGATTACTTAAACACTGGGATTATACTAGTCCCCAGAAAAGAAGGAGAAAATTTAGACATTTCTAAGCAAAAGTCTGTAGTCTAAGAA